TGATGGTTGCCTCTAAAAATACTCTTAAAAGGCAAAAAAAGATATGCCTCTAAAAGTTGCATTTAGAGACAACCATACACATTTGCCTCAAAATGCCATTAGAGGCAACTGTTTGATGTTGTTTCAAAATATTATTAGAGACAAACTGTATCTAAAGACTCAAAATGTTATTAGAGGCACTATCATGCTCTTAAAATTTTCCACATGCAACCTAAAATGTTGACTTGAATGCTTTTTAGAGACAACCATATATTGACGCAAAATGTAAAAATACAACAAAAATTAATATTGGTGTAAAACTCTCAAATGTAATGCTTTCTTTAAGGTACAACACAGAATACCAAAATAAATTTTTATTTATTAACAAAATGTAGTAATTACATAAGTAATTTGTTCAACTGATCTATGACATTTCCATGAACAAACTCTAAAACGAAACTCACTAGCTAGGGTTACTGCTTCACAAAAATAAATTAATTTAGAGAGATCATTCCTCCTCCTCCTCATCCTCCTCCTCCTCCTCCTCATCATCATCATCATCATCATCTTGCTCTTTGTTAGGCTCCTTGTCATAGTTGTCAACCTAGCAAATTGTATAGCAAATTGTAAATTATACAGTATATATTAATATTTCCAACAAGCTGCAAAAAATATAAGTTATATATGCAACTGTTATACCGTAAAAAGAATAGATAGATCTGCAATTATAACTAGTATGTCATTCAGCTAAAAAATTGCAACTAGTATATCAATTTGATAGGCAATATATCTACAAATATTATATTCAGAAATACAGGTATCGCATACATAGTATGCAACTATGTAACTTCAGAAACCAATCTTATTAATAGAAAAGTTAGTGGGCACAACTGAGCAGAGTGGAGGGCCTCTATAAACCGATCGGGCTTCTTTATTCTGGGAATTGGCAGTTGCCTCAGCTGTGAATATCTTAACTTGTGCGCTTATTAATCGTAACAGAATATTGCCTGATCTTCATAGAGCAATTATGTCACTTCTGCCTATTAGTGAAAGGTTTCATCTATCTGAACTTTCCAATGATTCCTTTATGAGAATTCTGAAAGCAATGCTTGAAGTTAATGTTTCCAAGCTAAGATGTGCAAATTATACTACTTATTCACATTTGAAATCAATGCTTCCTGACATAAAGTAGTATAGTTTGTACCAACAACTTGTATATCAATAGTTTCATAAAAATCTTAATGGACAATAAATATGTTAATAAGATAAGATGTTCATGACATACTAAGCCGAAAGAAACGTGCACACACAAACATCCTTCTACATACCTTGATACAAACTAAAACTAAACCTGATATACCTTTTGATGCATATAACTCTGCTGAAATAGGTAGCTACTTTAACAGTCCTCTAGAAATCCACTCTATAAATTAGTCAAAAAACATCAAGAATGAGTGAATTTCAATCAGACTGATTGATAAATTTCAAGTTTACTTTCACTTCAAGACATATGTACGGTGTATATATCTACACTAAAAAGCTCACATTCACTTATGGAATAACATTCAGAGAAATTAAAATGTACTCCGAAGATAATACGATGATAGAAGTAATTACATGCCAAAGTAAATTTATCGATTTATAAACTGGTAATATAGAATATATATATATATATATATATATATATATATATATATATGTGTGTGTGTGTGTGTGTGTGTATTAAAAACATGTTCTATAGTAGCTTCCAAAAAGTATGCAATGAATTTAAAAAAAAACTAAATTCTTAACACAGATCCAAAACAGTCCAGGTAGAACTTTGTTTCTTAGAATCCAGGAAGGCATAGAGAATGTCAGAATTGAAATTAATTGAATAATGGTACAAAAAAATCATCATACACTACATGAAAAACATTTAGAAGATTCTGAGAAATAGAATGCAGAATTACTTAACCATTTCAGCACCAAACCTATTAAATATGAACTGATTGTCTTAGGACACCTAATGACTTTAAAACACCATATTAGCTCTAGGGCTTGATGACTTCGTAAAATCGAGTTAGCTTAATGAAATACACAGGTTAATACTGACAACATATTAACATGACTTGATGGAACAATAATGCACACTTGAAAAAACATATTCCCAGAACAATATAATGATACTAAACCCCTTCCAATATTACTCTCAAATTACAATATAGCTATGCCAAAAAGCTTATAATGAAGAGTTTATGTATCAGGATTAGTCACTAACACGGTAACACCTTATAAGCATTAACTTCAGGGCACTTCATTAGAAGAGGTTCTCATGAACACATCTCCGGCAAATCGAAACCAATATCCCTTGGCATAATATTTACTACAACAAAAGGGTTAATGAAATTAGAGATTGAAATCAATATACATAAAAATCCTTGTAATTTCTCACATTTATCTGCATGTAGCCATTCTTTTGTGCACCTGAAACACAATTAAAAAGTAGATAGATTCATAGATAGATATATTTTGAAAAAAATATGTAATATTTACCATTGAAAAAGTTACCTATTTGGAATCTCGAGAAGCGAGTGCCATATAGAAAAGGAGTGGCAGGTTTGAGATAGAAACTGTATGAGATCGGCGACTTGGGCAAGGAGGCTCCCGATTGGCTATTTCTGTAGAGTCGGTGAACCCTTGGGAACCACATCTGGGAGATTGGAGGGCTACCGCTACACGCGGTTTGTTGGAGCGGGACAAGCGATGAAGATTTCAGCACTGTGACATGGATACTTTGTGGGTGCGTAGTCCAGCCTTCAGTCTTCCACAAACAGAAACATACAGATCTGGGCCTTCGGTCCGACACCATCCAGGGAGAACGCTGTGAACTTCTGGAGACAAGGCTTGGCAGCCAATTTACCACAGCAACAAGCAGAGACCTACAACCTAAGATTTGCTCGAGGCTAATATTGGGCGGAAAATCTGGGCAAATCACGGTGGGCAATAGGTATCCAGACCATGACTGAAATAAGAATAACTTAAACCCAAACATTTTCCACGCTTTAATTTTTCATTCTACCGCCCAAATTTAGGGACGAAAAATCAGGGTAAAACCACAAAAGGCTAACATTAGGATTTTTGAGGTGTTCATTAAGGGGGCAAAAATTTTAGAAGAAAAAAAGAAGCGAAAATTTTAGTTGAGCCGCCTTATTTTTCATTATGTGGAGCGGAATTGAAATGTGCTAAACTTTGTTTGGTAACATGAAATTGGTCAAATTGGCTCATTCTGCTCAAATTTATGAATTCCTGATTGAATTGAAAGTATTGGGCTATTGGCTAATTCTGCTGATTAATGAAAAAAATTATATTTACAATATTTGTAAATAAAAAATTATAAAAATAGCTAAAATGGCCTTTTAGAGTAATTTCAATGAATACAGTCAGAAAAAAAACTACAACCTTACTTTTTCTTATTATTACACAATTCTGCGCGTGAAATAAAAACGTTGCATTATAGTGAATCATTTTAATCATTCTTCATATAATTTTTTCATTATTTCGTTAATGAAATATATTGTAACTATAATTTTGCATAAATTATCAAAGTTAATCAATCAGGGCACTTCATTTAGAACTTCATGAATTTCAGCATAATCATTCGAAAAGGTAAAAACGAGACAATCTTAGGATATTTTTACTTGGACTGGTCTGTACTGATCTGGTCTGGTCTGATTTCTTTATATTCTTATAACTGCCCAAGTCTGATTTTGTCTGATCTGATGTGGTCTAGTCTGAGACAAATTACAGTCCAAGTAAAAAAATCCTCAGCGGGACAGGGTGAGTATTAGTTTTTACGTATAATTATAATTATAATTATTATTATTGTAACTATAATCATAACTATAATTATAACTGTAATTATAAAAAATAATTTCAATTGTAACTATACTTATAAAAATATTTACAATTATGTTAAGTACTTGGTATAAATTTTGCCTTTATAAACTAGTTGACATTTATGAGTATATGCTTTACTAGAAAATAATAATATAAAGACTTTAAGAGACAATCATAAAAGTGTGCCTCCAAACAACATCTTTAAGAGGCAATCATAAAAGTGTGTCTCTAAATGGTCCCTTTAAGAGGCAACCATGATAGGGTGCCTCTAAATATGCCTTTTTAGAGGCAACCAAAATAGTGTGTCTCTAAATAGCACCTTTTAGAAGCAAATAGAATATGGTTGTCTCAAAACATCTAAATTAGAGGCAACCATGATCCATTTGATGCAAAAGTAGGTTTTTGGAGGCAATAATATGTAAATTGCCCCAACGAGTTGCCTCTATAAGTGAAATTTGTTGTAGTGCTTTCATGTTATTTTGATCATATAGTATTGAGGTGGACGACCCATTCATCCCAACGCCATCTTGGTTGAGGGTTCACACAAATGCGCCTACTGGATTGGGCTAGATTTAGCCATGAAGATGTTGACCATAGATTTAGATTCATATACTCCCTCACCCATAATATTTCCCCAACACATTTCGTAAGGTAGGAATTCAATCTACTAACCCAATAACAAAACACGTTTGCTCATATCAAACTTGTCATATTTTAACCTATCTAGTGCTCTCTCACCTATACATAATTATATGTTACTCTTGCGTAAAATATTGACAATTAATTTGAATTATTTCTAAATAATTTGACATTGGAGGCATCCAAAGTGAACATTCTTACTGTATCCCGTGCGAAGTACAGGTGAAAAATCTAGTTTAGCTCAATGAAACCTTGGAACTCATTTTAAAGTGGCAAATCCCCTTTTGACGGACGCGGGTAGGGTGTAGAGTGTAGAGTTGTATTGAAATTTGAAACCTTTCATGAGTGGAAATTGCACAAAGTTTAATTTTTTGCCTCACAACGGTTAGGGTTTAAGCTTTTCTTGATCATCATCATGACTTGAAAACACTTGGTTAACATTACCGAGTACGGAGTCTTATACTCCGTATATTTATACTGATACAAGTAGTGTAAGAAGTCGTTTCGTCCACTCCTTCCTTTCTCTGGAAGTACCAAAAAACTCTTCGTCATCTCAAATTCTCATCCACCCCGCAATTCCTCAACTAATTAAACACTGAATCATCGATGATATTCTGTATGAATTTGTGATTTCTCCACCGGAGATGGGGGGGAGAAAAGATGAAATGGACGCAGAATCTCAAACCGCCCCTTCACCCTCAAGTCATTCCTCATCCGAATTCGAGTTCGCCGTTGCAATCACCACCAGCGGCGGCGGCCCGTCCTCAGCCTCTTCTTCCGCTTCCACTCTATGCCCCGCCGACGAGCTCTTCTACAAGGGCCAGCTCCTCCCCCTTCACCTCACTCCTCGCCGCTCCATGCTCCGCACTCTCCTCCTCGCCTCCTCCTCCACCTCCTCCGACGACAGCTTGACCACCGCATCCCGCGACTCCACCGGCAGCTCTAACGACTCCCGCCCCTCCTTCTCCGTCGCGGACCTTCTCCTCCCCTCCTCTCGCGACTGCTCCCGTTCCTCCTCCGCCGCCGACGAAGCCGATCTCACCGCCCTGCCCCACCACTCCGTCGCCAGGAAATCTCACAAGTACCTCAACTTCTCGCTCTCCAGATTCTCCTGCGGCTTCCGCAAGGCTCGCCATCCGGATTCAGCCCACGCGCCCGGATCCGTACCCGCTGGACCCTCCCCTGTAAAACGGATGAGCAAATCCGCCAGAGAAGTCGTCGTAAAGTACCTGAAAAAAGCGAAGCCGTTATACGAAAAGCTTTCTCAAAATACAAAGCCGCCGCCGCCGCAACGGAGGACCAAAACATCGGACGGATTTCTGAAGGGATCCGATCGGAAAAAACCCGCCCCGCGTTCGTTCTCGGGGAATTTAAGTTACTCCAGGATGAGAAGGAGACGGAGCGACGTTTCTAGCTGTCCGTCGTCGATGCGGTCCTCTCCGAGCCACTCCGGCATGATTTGCCGCGTCGTGGTCTCGCCGCAGGTGATGTGTAAGGCTGCGTGTTTGTCGGAAATGTCTTCAATTGAAGAGTTGCAGGCGGCAGTGCAAGGTGCTATCGCTCATTGTAAGAACTCAATGATCCGGAATTCATCAACTGCAATGGAACCGTAACTGCTGGTTCCAGAATCGATTGGTTGACATGAACGTCTGAAAATTTTACTACTTCGAGTTACTGACTTACTGCCGCTGTAAGAAATGTTGAAATGTTCATGCTGCAATTTTGAAATCTTTTTTTTGGGAGAATATAGAGAGCATATAGCTTACGGAGTATATTCCATGTAAATGTTCTGTATAATGTTTTTTTCATGCTTGTTATTCATTTTACTTTTCTTTTTAGTTAATAAAATGATACTCCCTGTTTTCAAAAAAAAAAAAATGATACTCCCTCCGTCCCTAAATAAACTTTCATTTGGCTTTTTGAGAGTCAACTCAAATCACACTTAAACTCATATTGTATATGTCAAAATTTTATAAAAATTGAATTATTTTTTGTAGGCTTTATAGCGGGTTTAATGTAGTTTCTGAATATGTAAATTTTATTTACTAAAAATAATTGGAATTTTCACAGGGATCATTTAACTTTATCGCTAGTCAAACTTCGTAAACCGCAATTGGAAATTTAATATGGGACGGAGGTAGTAAATTATTCGGAGTACTACCTACGTAGTAAGTATCAAAACATAAAAAAAATGTGAAGATGTGAAATAAGTTGGTACAGATTTGCTATCTTCAATCTTAAATAAATGCAATCTTAAATAAATGTAACATGTTAATTTAATATCATTCACATGTTTTACTTTGACTAAGTAATATTTATTGATTTATAAATATTTTGTTTTTTGAAAAAGATATTGTTAAATGTGTCTCATTTTAAAATTTTAAAATCTAAATTTTTAAATTTTTTAACTAATACTCCCTCCGATTTTTAATAAACTTCACACTTTCCTTTTTGGGACGGTCTAAAATAAACTTCACACTTCCTTATTTCCTTTTTTGGCAAAGAAATCTACATCAAAACAGTGCCAAACAGTGTCTCAACAGTGCCAAATAGTGTCTCTACAATGCCGAACAGTGTCAAACAGTGCCTCAACATTGTACTCTACATTAAAGTCAAATTTCTTTCCTTATTTTGTGTGAAGTCAAACTGTGAAGTTAAAAAAAACCGGAGGTAGTAGAAAATTGTACTCCGTATATATTGATGGTCAAAGTTGTACTATACCTTGATAAATATGAAATATTGACCGTTACAAAAAATTTCAAATGATATATCTTTGTAAATTTCAAAATATTAGAAAAGTTTTGCCATATAATACTAAAGAGTGTATTTCCTAAATATAAATAGTATACTCTCACATTGTAATTATATTGTTATACTATCACATTCACAAGACTATTACTACGTACTCCGTAAATGATATTGTGGCAGTATGGTTTGTGATAGTAATTTTTATTTAGAAAAAAGAAACATCGGCTCCTTCAGAAATTTATGAAGTTATGGTTGAAGTGGCTGTATTGGCTGATTCTGCGGATTTATGAAAAAAAAATATTTAAAATATTTTTCATTAATAAAATGAAGAAAAAAATATATATTAAAAATAGCTAAAATGATTATGTAAAATAACTTCGGCCAATACAGACAAAAAAAGTAAGTCAAACTTACTTATTTTGATTATTTCACTATTAAGCGTGCAAAATAAAAAATTACGTGTTTGGTGAAAAATTTGCCCGATAAAGTTGGTAAGTTGAAAAACATGATATCAAAGGGCTCCGCATTTCCAATTGTGGAAAATGTCTTGGTTTTGGAAGTTACTTGTACGAAGTTCATCATTTTGGACAAGAATAAGAAATGAGTAGGAGTAGTTAGGCATGGCAATGGGTCGGGTCGGGTACTGTAAGACTCGGACCCGCTCCATGACTTGGCGGGGCGGGTCCGCCCCGCCCCGCCCCGCCCCGTGACTTGCACGGGTCCAAACTTGAAGACCCGTGACCCGCCCCGCCGTAATCTAATTAGCTAATATGTATTTCTATTTGTGGGAAGTTGTTACCAATTGAATCTACATAAAGTTTATCTCTGAATAATAATTAAAAATTAATATATTAAATCAAATTCATGATACGCTAAAAATTTCAAAAATTGAGGAAAAATTACTCAGACTTGAATAGTTAATCTATTTAATTATATTAATAATTGAATATATGTATTAAAATGCTATATATATCGCATACATTGATAATCTGTCGTTCATCTTATTCTAATATATATATATATATATATATTAATATATTATAAGATCAAAAATTTAATATTTATTGTATACACACATATGAATGTTGAAGTATATTTGTAGTATAATTTAAGAAAAAATATGTACACTTTTATATTGAGCGGGGCGGGTCGGGTCGGGGCAGCACGGGTCAATACTAAGACCCAGACCCGCCCCATTGTATAGGCAGGGCGGGGCGGATCCGCCCCATTTGCAAGACGGGGCGGGCCGGACCCGCCCCAAATGTCTCGGGCCAGGGCGGGTCATTGCGGGTCGGGTTTTTTTGACATCCCTAGGAGTAGTTCAAATTTTACTAGAAGAGATGTAATCTTTCTTGAGTCAAATAAATGACATACTAATTGGAATGGTTTTTATAGTGTAGGTTACCGATTTCAATTTAAGTGGTTTTATTTCTTTTATAATCACATCGTATAACAAATGAGACTAAACTGGGGAGCAAACATTTTTTGACAATCCGGATAATAAAGGACGAATTCAACATAATTTACACCGTGTGCTTCGGTCTGTTTGTTTGGGAGTTAACCTAAGTTATTGAAGGTTCAATTTCTAGTTAACCTCGTTTGTTTGTATTTTTGCAACAAGAACCTAGGTCATGTGTTAACCTCATTTATTTGAGAGAACCTGAAAGAATCTTAAATTGAAGAACCTTCGAATTGGGGGATTTGGAGGTTAAGTTCTCGTTTAACATAAAATGAGCCAGACTACCTTCATCCAAACAACATTTATTGCATTAACCTAGATTCACTCTGTATATTTCCAAACACTATTTTACGTATGGACCTAGGTTCACTTAGGTTAAGCTAATTTTCATTAAAACTTAGGTTTACTTTATTGCACTAAGTTTACTTAACTTCACTTTATCCAAACAGAGCGTAAAGGTTATACTTTCACTAATTGCAAAGGAAGGATTAGATTTGGTAAAGAAGTGAAAGTTAAGGATCAAAATCAACTAAATTAATAGTTTAAAACTAATTTAGGTATTGCCTCAATAGGAGGGTTGTTTGTGGCATTAACTCAATTTTTATTTTGTGAGAAAAATAACTAAAATGCCGCAAACTTTGAAGGAGTTTGAGATAAACATCCCAAACTTTCGTATATAATTTACCCCAAACTTTATATAAAAAGTTATTTTAACACCATGGTCATGTATGTATTATTTCAAAATTTTATGATGTTTATTGCATACATTAAAATAGCAAATTGAAAACATTACAACTTTATAGAGTTTGGGGGGGGATACTATTTATTATACAATGAAAGTTTAGAATGCTAATTATATCTTTATGAACGCTAAAATGTTTTAAATTATGAAATTAACACCAATTATTAACATTTTTGAAAAAAATAATACAAAATTGCGATTCTAAAATAACTTTATATATAAAATTTGAGATATTTTAATTATTTTTCCCTTGTTTTATTTCAAACCCCTATTATTATTATCCGCAAGACTGCAACTCTGCAAGAGAGATGACGGAACATAAAAAGAATCGATCAATGTTTGAATAATTTGAACACGATTTAAGTTAAACCTTGTGCAAATTTAATTAATAATAATTGCTGAGGTTGATTAATGGGACTTGAAATAATGCCATACATTACCGTTGCATGTCACAGTGTCTGGTTGTCATAATCAATCGCTGGGTTGGCAAATTTCTAGTCCGTATTTGGTTTTATTGCACTGGGAATTGGAGTATTTGACTGTCCCGGAATCCAATGGGGCTCTATATTTTCATATTTTGGGGTTTTCAAATATAAATTCGACCGCCATAACTCCGTACATAACACGATTTCCCGATCTATTCCATTCGATTTCCACGATTAACACTAGATTTCTTTCATATCATAACGTTTAGATCATTACATTATTTAATGGAAAACAACATATACACAAATTAAACTCCAATCATTACGACTGTAAACCCTATGATCAGATTTAGAGACGGTCACTCCTGAAAGAGCAACACGAATCGCTAATTATGTAACAGACTTGATACAACCATCCATATTCTCATAGATCCAAACATACTCAATGACATACAAAATGACTGAAATCCCAAACAGACTGACAAAACTAACGACATAAACGATAACAGGAAACCAAAAAGCAAAATAATAATAACGAAAAGGAAGATTGTCGCGGACTCTAGCACCTTGTACAACTCTGGCGGCGGTTCAGGAGGAGGTCAAACCATTGGGATCTCTCTACTTGATGTTCCATTGTCGCTCGAGATCTGACCTTTTCGAATAAAGACGCCATACGATGACACCGTCACCAGTCCCAGCGGAGCCGTTCGTAGAACCTCCTCCCTGCCTCCGATCTTGATCCCTTCGCTCTCCATCCTCCGAGCCGCACGAGAGACGGCAGAAATCTCAAACCCTACTAGAGGGAAGGGACAAGAAACAAATAACTTAATTATTATTGATAAAGATGACATGAAACATTACAATCATAAAGCTCAAGGCTACAATGGGATGAGACATAGAAACAGACGATTCAAATCGAAAACGCCGAATCGCTAATCCCGCAAAGAAGTAGACTCTACCTGCAGATTGACTGCTCCTACTATGATCACAATAATTATGAAATGAACTCTTAAACATCCCGGTTTGTCCAGCCACCGGTAAGGAGCCAACTGTAGAATTTGTTCCGGTTTCACCAGCCACCGGAAAGAAAGCAATCCAAATGATCTCATCTTCCTGCAACGGCGGTGGTTCAGCAGGGGCGATCCGCCTCAATATCGGCGTAGAAGAAAAACATATTTCTGATTGATGAAGAGATCAGTGCAAATCTCTTCTTAGCACACAAGAGCACCCGATTGAAAGTGGCGGGGAAGATGCATCTGACAGACGATACTTCGCTACTGAAAATAATATCTCCATACAATATTGGGAAAGAAACAGATGAATAAAATCTCAACAACTGATTAAGACGATAATTTTCCATTGTTGGAATCAAAGAAGATTGAAAGAAGAGAAGAAAAGAAGAGAAAAGGAGGCGGCGGCGGCTAGGGTTCCCCATGCCATAGCAGCTCCTCTCTGGATCGTGAATTGTGTTAAATGCTTGTTTATGGACTCGACATACACACAAGTGAGTTATGAAGTATGAGTACATGTTTTTGAAAGTACACTTCCTTTTAGTTCTAAAAAAGAG